TCCACAAATGAACACAATGTCCTGATGAGGACAGAACACTCCCTGCCTGGCATCTATTGATAACACCCGTTAACTTGGCTTCTAAATATCAATGTTTGAATGTCACTACTTGCTCTTGTAGTCTTCCTCTGAGAGAAGAAGGACTAAGTCTGTAATAGGTCTGAGGAACAGCTTAGCACCATGTTCTCTGGTGATCTTGACCTCTACGATGTGGACCTTTTTCATCTTTGCTCGGGGATGCCTTGGTGACCAATGCCAATGGCATTGCCTCTTTGCTTGATGAGCAAAGAAAAATAGTTCCAACATCAATGTTTGGCTTGCTACTGTGCCACTGACGGCCCGTCCACACAGCAGCTTTAAAAAAATCTTGAAAATCTTGGAGCTGGGCGTGTCTGAAAGCTTGGGAATCTTTTGCGAGCAACGCGACCAACAACCAATCACATGAATCTCCCGCCCCCGACATACAAAGCAATAGCAATGTTACAACGAAGTAAACTGGATATAAAATCCCCAAACAGGCGAAAACCTACCAGTTTCACCCACTGTCTCTGCCACCTCCCTCCATGCCTGGTTCCTCAGGTTTGTATCCCGGTAAGTTATAAGCGACTGGTCATAAAGAACCGGGTGATTTGCTACCGCAATAACTAATTTCTCCTCCATTTTCAGGAATATAGAAAATGAACTGCGGTCTGGCTCTCCCAGCTTGCACGCGGTTTGATTGGCTAGCGCTTGTACTGCCAGATTTGCATAAACGGGATTTGATTGGCTGACGCTTCCAGCTCAGCTTCATAGTTGAACATTGCTCAACTTTTGAATCCTGAAAATCCTGGAAATCCTGGAAATCTTCGCTTTGCTTCCCCACAATGCATTTTGGCGAAAAGCGAGGCAAAGTGACGTCACCCCATTCAAAGTCAATGGGCAGAGAAGTGTTGGAAACGTTGGAAGATCTTTTTAACGCTGCTGTGTGGACGGGCCGTTACTCCTTGTTTGCGAAGTTGAGAGATACTGCTTCCTCCATTTGCTCCAAAAGGCATCTGCAAGGAATTGAACCTGATGCCAGTGACGCTTGTACAGGTCTTTGGGGGTGAAATCCCCCGGAGGAGTTGAGAAGGTACCTTTCTTCTGTGTGAGTAGGGTAGCAAGGATCAGTACCAATGGATCTGGAGGATCGGTGGATATTGGACCCAACGTTCTTGCGTTCATGATGGCCGCTACTTCTGCCAAAAGAGTTGTAAGAGCCTCATGTCTCCACACGGGTGCTGTCAATGTTTGAAGGAACCTGGAGCTCCTTGCAGGCTCTGTGGAAATTGGTGCCTCTATCCGAGCGGATATGCTTCACTAGACCACGTATGGAAATGAACCATTTGAGGGGAGAGAGATGTTTAAGGTTATGTGATCGGTTGTCTGGACGATGTCGCCTCCCAGTTGTTGGCATCATCCTTTCGGAACCCTTGTTCCATGGTCTTTATGAAGACCTTGTCTTCAATCGAGGGAGCTATTTTGTTATCTTCCTTAGATCTTTGGAACACTGTACATCCAAGATGGTCTTCACCTTTGTCACAGGCGGTGTCATCACTGAAGTAGTTCTTTGTGGGGTCAGCTGACGTAAAGTCGCTGTATCTTTCTTTGATGAGGAGGCGATTCGGACAAGATTGAAAGAGAGATGGACGACCGTTCTCTAGCGTGCTTGTGAAGAGTGTTCACCATGGATGGCTTATGAACATTTCCCAAACAGACGTCTCCCACGATGACCCATCCTAGGTCGAGCCTCTGAGCATAGGGCCATTGATCTGTTCCCGCACTTTGTGTACTCTTATTATGTCCCTTCCAAAGAGAAGCAGTATTGGGGCTTGGTTGTCCATCTTAGGAATCTGAAGAGCTACAGATTTCAGGTATGCGTGGTGGAGCGCAGCTTCTGGAGTGGGGATTTCTGATCTGTTGTTAGGAATCTGGTTACACTCAATTAGCGTAGGGAGAGATAGACAAACCTGCCCATCGAGAGATTCGATTTGGAAATCACTCGCTCTTCTTCCAGCTGTCTCTACCACTCCTGCGCATGTCTTCAGTGAGTAAGGTGACTTGGGGCCTTGTATCTTGAAAAGATCAAAGAACTCTGGGCGAGCAAGTGATCTGTTACTTTGATCGTCAAGGATGGCATAAAGCTTTACTGCTTTGTCTGGATAACTTGAGTGGAAGACTCTAACAAGACATATCTTCGAACACGACCTGCCGCTCAGGTCTCCACCGCAGACGCTGGTACATAGGGCTGCAATGTCAGCAGGTGTACTTCCATCCTCCCCGCCATACCCTCTGGCAGGGTCAATGGCCTTTGCCTTCCAGGTTGGGGGTCCTGGATGTAGAGCTGTGTTGTGACTTTCACTTTCGCACTCGGAGCACTTGACGCTCGCTTTGCAGTTTCTGGCAATATGTGATGTTGAGGCGCAACATCTGTAACAGATCCGATTTTCCTTAAGAAAGGCCTTACGATCTTCAAGGGATTTCTCTCTAAATCTGCGACATTTTTGTAGAGGATGAGGCTTCCTATGGATAGGACACTGTCTGCCAGGCTCCTCAGTCATCTTTTGAGTCATCTCTGCATCGGAGGGGGAAGACACGTTGGTATTATGGACTGAAATAGTTGTTCTATTATTGCTTTGCTTGAAGGCAGGCGTTTCTGAGTAAGACAGGGTATTGTTGAACATGGTAAGATCAAAACTGGGGTCATTTCTTGTCATTGCTTGTTCGCAGACAAAGTCCACAAAGAAGGAAAATGGTGGAAATGGTACACCGTTTTGACGTTTGTATCTGGTGCCCTCACTTATCCATCTCTCTTGTAGGTTGTATGGTAACTTTTGTGCAATGGGGTTGACGCCACGTGAGGTATCTAGAAGGCGAGGCCCGGTAGATATCCCTCAGCCTTGGCAGAAAGAACCTCCATCAACAGATCGCCCAGCTCTCTCAACTTCTGAAATTCCTTGTTCCAACTTGGGGAACCCATCAAGTCTCTTGAAGAGTGAGCTCTCAATAGCTTCTGGTGATCCGTAACAGTGTTCCAGTCTTTCCCACACCATGGCTAGCCCTCTTTCAGGTTGGTTCACATTCACTGCTCTGATCCGCCTTGCATGACCAGCAGACTCATTTCCTAGCCATTTGACTAGCAGGTCCATCTCTTCGCTAGCCGATAAGTCTAGGCCTCTGACTGTGTTAAAAAACGAAGCTCGCCAGGCTCTAAAGCTTTCTGAACGATCGTCAAACTGTAACAATCCTGTGCTGACAAGTTTGCGGCGAGCAAAGAATCTCACAAAGTCTGTCATGCTCTGACTCTCCTTTGTGTTGCCAGCTAATGGAGTGCTGTGGTGTTGAGCTGGTGGACGGTTACGATCATTGAGTCCTCCTGTCCTCATCCATCCATGATTCTGTCCAACTTCAACTGAATATCTTCGTTCTGATCTATGTTCCAACTTGACCGACTGTTGAGCAGGGACATTAAACAGTAGAGGAGAGTTATTGTCATGCTCTTGGTTATAGAGTGCAGGGAAAATCCTATCCTGCTGTGGCATAGCACTTCCATATCCATGAAAGGGTTCCTTTTCTGGCATTGACTGAGGGCTGTAATCAATACAAATAGTGATATCTTATTCGTCTTGAAACTTATTTATCATAACGTTTATTAGCCAAAAGAATTGAGGTCTTTCAATGTCTGTTCTTAATTTAAAAGGGCATGGATTATTTAAAAATATACTTAGTTTTCAGGGTGAATTTACCAGATCTTTCCAGGGACTACAGAGGGAAAAAAGCCTCTTGGCTAACTGTGGTGAATTAACAGCATTGTTTATTAATGTGCAATGTCCCTGCTAAAAAAATAATACATACTTTAAAAAATAAGTATGTAAGAATGTATTAGCATGACAGAATTGTTTTTCTAAGATAATTAAATATTGTTTACATCAATACAACAGGAAATAAATACTGTATTTAGCGCCAAATCCGAAAGAAATACAAAGTATACTGTGGGGTTTGGATAATTCTACGCATTAAAACCAAACTGATGAGTGATATACCTGCTGTATCAGCACACACTAACATGCATCTGTCTGCACAAATACACTCCTTGGCGCATACAAGGCTATTAAACACTATTGAGCGTCCCATCTGAATCCATGAAAAGGCTATAATCATATTCAGGGTCATTGACATTCAGATAGGTAGCACGGCTGTTACTGTGGCGCAGCAGAAAGATATTTCACTCAAAATCTCCCCTTCCCCATTTCATCTGCTCCTTTTATTCCTCTCTCCATCTTCTCCTGACGTTAAAATGAATCACTTCTCCTCTAATCTTTTTGTCATTTCCTCCCTTTTCTGTCTTTATCTTTCTGTTTGGTGCAGGTTTTTAAAGTTCACTGGAAGGTGATTTGTTAATCCTCGAGGTGTGAGCTCCCAGCTTCAGAGTCGGAGCAAAGGATTAAAGTTAGAAATACTCACAGAAGATTATTTTATTCGTTTAACAACGTGTCAGAGCTTTACTCTGCCACCACTACCATGTTTTGGTTCTATCATCACCCTGTATGAGTCAGCTGGTCAGAGGTCTGTATTGCAGTTTTCTATATAGGGAATCAATTAGGTGAATAAATGTGTGTAACATAATATAATCAACAGCACGAAAAACTAACGCCTCAAAAATAACCATAAGTACCTCTATAAAATTCAACAAAATATAAAAATGTTAACCTTCTTGAAGTTAGCATTTATGCGAAACTGTACTCAGAACCGGCGGCAGACCTGAATCCATGGGGGGGGGGCATTTGATTGGGAGGTTGGGCCTAACGTACAATTATAAAACGGAAAAGTCAAATCAAGCAATCTGATTGGTTCTTAGCCGTGATATAATGAGCGTATGTCACGGGTAGGATTGTAGTTACTTTTACTTTCAAGTCATGTATCCCTCCGCGTCTGAGAAAAGCTACAACCGTTAAAACTGTTACATTACGTCCGTTACGAAACTAACTAACTAACAAAGCTTAAGATGGAAACATTTAAGGCTAACTTTGGCCTCCGGGGGGGGTCTTACTATGGAGGAGTGGATTGAGGAGTGCCTATCTCCAGAAAAAAAAAGCACCTAAAAGACGACATGCAGAGCTACGTGAAGAGCAGGTAGACCAACTGGAAAAGTACCACCATTCAAAAGCTTTCTGATGCGGGTCTTGAAACAAAGCAGAGAAATTATGACCGTTAGTGGCCACAGGTGCGAAAGCTGTCTCCAGAGCTACTGGAAGCCGAATCTCGGGGACCAGAGAAAGTGGAGCAATATTCTCCCCACGCCAAGCAACAGCCCTAGAACAACCTCAACCTATACAAGTAACCACGTAAGCCATTCTACTGATGCTGGACAGTTTTTCAGTGGGTGCACAATAAACGCTTAAATATAAGGTAGCGATGACAATCAGATTCACACACAGATTTAATTCAGAGACCTACGTTTATTCTGACAAAAAAAATGTAATAAAAAAATGTCAAAAATATAGTGGAAACGAAATATATTTATATTGGATGTACTGAGTATTTTTTATTGTATTCAATATTACATTCAAAAGTATTGTTTTGTGTTTTTCCGTTACCTGACATCAACGGCATGTATAATATTAGAATATTTTGATGTATCCAAGAAAATTCCTCATTTGTATAAACCTACTTGGTAATAAAACCAATTCTGGTTCTTACTCTGATTTATATTTAAGACTGTAAAAAATATAGTGTTTTACAAAATCAAACTTCAAGTTTTGACTTGACCTAGTTTGCAGTTGGGTATTTTTCTGAATATTTCCCATCACATCCTCTACTCACTTTGTGAAAACTTTGAACTGCATCCTACATATTTTTATTTGCACTGGTGCGCATTTCTTCTGCATCAGTGTTTTGAAATAAAGGACCCTGGGTGTTTCTCAATGTCGAGGACGCTTCCTTGGTAGGACATGTCTTCCGAGTCAGGTCCTTCAGAAGCGAGGCAGGAATCCTTCCTAGCCTCGGAAAACGAACAATGGTGGAACAGGCTAACAGGTGTGCAAGTGTGTGTCATATGCGAGGCCCCGCCTTAAATGGAGCGCGATTTCCGCCAAAGATTTTGGAAATTGGTCCGTGCGCAAAGCATTGTGGGGATTTTAAGACCGCGGAGGATACACATGTGCAGTCTCCCAATTTCCCGCAACAAAGGACGCTGGCCTCGGTAAAATTCCAAGGACCTGGACATTGGAACAGTCCTTTGGCGGGACTCGATGACGTAGCATCCTTGAAGTAGTGGCTCTGGAGGAGCCTTCCTCAACATTGAGAAACACCCTCTGTCTCTGCTCTCCCCAGAGGGATCAGGTACTCACGTCGTAGCCGTTGTTGCGGATTCCCCTCCGGGATCGCTCTCTCAGCACCAGCAGGTCCATCTCCGTCTCCACCGGGCTCGGGCAGCTCAGGGACTGCCGGCTCCAGTAGGTGGGCTCCCGTGGGTGGGAGTACCTGGATGAAGAGGTGTGAGGAAACACACTGTAACTACAGCTCAGGGCTGTACTGTAGATCTCATCTGCTGCATTTTAGTGGAGGTTCTGGAACATTTTCAGTTGAAACCTAAACCTGGGGGGATTGAACTCCCTTCACAATCACATTCATGATCGCACTAATCTGTCCATATTTAAAACACAAATCAAAACTCACCATTTCAAAGCTGCTTTGAATCTGTGACTAATATTTTAAAAATATTTTTTTAAATAATTGTTTGGGGAATTTGATCCTGTATATGTATAGTGTCTTCGAGCAGCGCTAATTAAACATGTACTATGTATATTATTGTTAGTATAATTATTTGTATTATTACTTTGTAATTATTGTTATTATTAAAAACTGTTGGGATACATTTTCTCAGTCTTACCATATTAATCAGTAGTTTGATTTAACAGAAATCAATGGACAGGTAATTTAAAAGTGGAAAGTGAGCTTCATTAAATTCCATTTTTACATAAAAACCTGAGTGGTGCTTAATGCTCTGGTGTTTCTGCACATCCCTGACGTCACTTGTCAATCATATGACTTCACACATCCACAGATTGAGAAGGCAAACAGCTGCTTTACATAGTCTGAACAGTAAGTATAACTGCAGGTAAAGGTTGTGTTAATTCAGTAACTGACACAAACAAACAAACACTTTTCTGTATGAACGTTAAAATATTAATGTGCTGACCAAATATCACCCCTCACTCAACTCACTCCTTATGTGTTGCTAAGCAACTATGCTCTACAGCTGCACACCGAAAGCAGTCTGTGGTTCCCAGTGGAAACCTTGTTAAGCACTTTATACTAACACTTCTTTAATAATGATGAAATTGAACAAAACTATGATATCTGATAGGGCTCATATATATGTATACTGTACTGTATGTCTACTGGGGGCAGCTGCAACAATGGCAAACATGATGTCTAGCCTTAAAACATTCTCAAAATTAGACTTTCAATCAAAACAGGGAGCGAAAATAATGAACGTTAATACCTGAGCTCAGTGTTGGAAGAAGTAATCAAATCCTTTACTAAAAGTAAAGTACTTTAAGTAAAGGTAAGTCAAAATACTCCACTGCAAGTAAATGTCACGATTTCAAAATGTACTCATTCTGCACAATGACCCGTTTCAGAATAATATAGAACAGAATCATTATCAGTTAAAGTTCTCATTACACAGAATGGATCTTTTCACAGTATATTATTATTATTATGGTTGATTGTTACTGTTGTTTACTGTATACATGTAGGACCAATTTAGTATTGTAGTGTGGCAATGTTGGAAAACTTAGATACTAGAAATACTGTGTAGATTAGTACTGTAGTACTGTACTGATTTATACAATATCTGCACATTGTGTGTTTGTATTTGTACAAAGTAACTTGTAACTGTGAGTGTTAAAATAAATGTAGTGGAATAGAAGTATAAAGTAGCATTAAATGAAAATACTTATGTCAAAAAGAACTTAGGTACAATACTTAAGTAAGTGTACTTAGTTACTTTGCACCAATGCCTGAAGTTAAGTATGAACAGAAAATATCAGCAATTTTAAAAGGGGTTCATATGTGTGTAATCTGGCTCTGACTCTAGATCAGGGGTCGGCAACCTTTTGGATATGAAGTGCCATTTAAAAAAAAATTTTTTATCAGCGTGCCAACGATCGATGATTATCAACGGGGGGGGGTTGAGGAGCTTGACGCTCGTCAACTATCAGCAGGAGGGCGGGGGAGCCTCGCTGCGGGGAAGCAGTGTGTGGACCTGTCAGCGCAACTTACATTTAACAAACACATTTAAATAATTGGTTTAAACGGCATAATAATAAGGACGATCGTCCGTTCTGTGATTCTCCAGAACACACAAGTTATGATATTAGGGTCCATGCAGAGTGAGATGAGATCCGCTGTCCCTGAGAGAAAGTTGAGAGGGTTGCGCTTGTGCATGTGTGTAGAGCGACAGTGAGAGAACCTATGGAGAGAACGTGTGTATGTTTCTAGAAGTGAAACGGGAAAGCAGAAAAACAGAGGTCTGTGATGTATTTTGTGAAACAGAAGAACAGCTAAATAAATGCAACGTCCTCCCAAGAAGAGCTCGCCTCTCTCCAGTCATTTAAGCTAAAGTGGGTTATTGAACCTGAAGCTTGTTGCTTCTGCCCTCCTCGACTACGGTCTGGGAGCCGACAGGAAAGTTCAACACACAGATGGCCAGTCCCCCCCTTTGTAGCATATTATTTCGATGAGAGATGAGCAGATCGCCACTGGGCTTTCAACTAAATAAACACAACCACGCAAAAACATTTGTACAACTCCTTATGGGTACTGCAATTAGTGAAGTGCTTTCCTCCGTGGTGAAACGATCAGCACTGCACCACGGAGGAAAGCGGCAGAAAGTCACCTGGAGATAAAGAGAGCGGGGCTGCGTTGCGTGCATGGCTTCCTTCTGCAGGTAACGGGGAGACGCGCTCTGGCGTTAAGGATCCGAAAATTAATTTAAATATTTTGCACACTTATTCCACTTATTCCTAGTGTGCCACTGGTTACGGTGCCGCGTGCCAGTGCCAGGGGTTGCCGACCCCTGCTCTAGATGATACTAGATACTACCCCCATTAACCCCCCCACTGCCTCACTGCAGGTCACTGCACCTTACCTCTTATGACACCCAGCGAACGAGGCCCTCTTCTCCTCAGCGGTCAGTGGCTCCTTGACCCCGTTGTCATGCCGACTGTGCCTGGCGTCGCGGTGACTGTAGCCGTGGCTGCCGGTCTCGGACAGAGAAAACTCTCCGTAGCCTTTCCTCCGGGCCTTCTGCCGCAGCTTGTTCCTGTAGTGCTCGATGTCCGACTTCTGCTTCAGCCCTGCGTGGTTCGCCTGCAGACAATCCATCAGAGGAGGAAAGGAAATTCATTTCCAATTGAGATTGTTTTTAATTTTTTTATGATGGACTGTTCCTCTGTTTTAAATGTGATACCAAACACTCCCTACAGCTCCATACTCACAGAATGTGTTACACCCTAACATGATATTTTCTGCTAATGCACACTCGATCAATCGCAACTGAACTGGAAACCAGAGAGGGCCCGAGGGAATGTTCTGGTCTTATGTTTATAGATTGAGGGATCATTTATCTTCAGCCTGTGTTATCTCTGTCTCAGCTGCAGAGAGGTGCAGAGAGAAATCGAGTAAAGAGGAAGGGAGGAAAAGAGTGAGAAGTGACTCTTTTGATTTACTTACCTGACATTCTATTGGCTTACACTCCAACAGTTTATAAGTGATAGTCTAAGGAGCGGGACATCACTGAGTGGTTGACCAATCACAACAGAGCCTGCCAGCTAACGAATCCAAGAGGTGCTGCAGCACAGGCAGTTTGAGACAAATAAAGAGCTTTTTGCACATTGAAATATGTTAACATGTCACAATAGAGGGACAACAATATGTCCTCTTTAATCCCTGGTGTGAGAGAGGTTGCCCTGGAGCAGTTGGAGGTTCTATAGGAATTATTATAATAAATGTGACAAATATGTATGCAGTATTAAAACCTTGACCTTGTAAGTCATTAAAAAATACTTGATGTTAATAGCCTAAGACAATTTTTAAACATTATTATTTATCAGGGCTTAAAATAACACACTATAACACAGGAGAGGCATACATTTAATGCATCATGATTCTGCCTTATACTGTCAACGCTGCAGGATCACCTCACAGCTGAGTATGATAGGCCTTGAGGGTGTGTGTGCATTATGGATATATGTGTGTGTGAGCAGACTCACCTCCCCATTGAGGACCACAGAGTCCTGGCTGTGGGAGGAGGAGGAGGGGTAGGAGTAGGTGGGCTGAGCAGTCATTGGTTTGATGGTGATGAGACGCAGGGAGCTGGAATGGTCTTCATAGGGGTCTGAGAGGAAGAGGAAAACAAATAGGTTAGACAGAAACATTACTTCCAGGAAGCTGAGATCAATTACGCATTCTGCCAATTCCCTGTAATTCAGATACAAATGTTGTTCAATCATCCGAGTATAATTGTGAAATTTAAAGTCCATGAAATGTCCAAAATAAACGTTATTCTGTGTTAATAAATCGCTTCATCACTTTCCACTGTTTCATTTGACATATCAACATCAATGATTCTTTCCATAAATACCCCCCAAATAACATGAAATGTGTGCCACTTTCCCGTGTTATTCCGCTCCGGTAGCGAAAAGCTTGCCAGCCATTAACCCAGCTGTGTGACGTCACACGTGGCAAACACCAGCCTCGTCTGGATTGTTTGTTTTGTATCCTTCCGCTATTTTCGCTCAACATATGTGTAACCGGACCTCGCTAAACTTTTTTTATCAAACAATTCATGATGGGGAAGCGATGTGTAGTTGTGAGCTGTGAATGTTTCCTGATTGCTATAAACATTGATCATGGGTGCTGGAAGATTGTTTACAAAACTCGGGTCAGAATTAAGTTACTACAGGTGTTATGCCAGCTTGAGCTAAATGTCACCAGAGTACAGTGAACTTGCCTAGTGTCTGAAATATATAAAAGTTGAAGTGAAATAAGTAAGGCCAAAAATGAATTACGTCTGAATATCTTTATTATTTTTACCACTTTTAATTATTTGTGGGCTCGCACATATACCAAAATAGACTAATGTACACTGCATTATTGCAGTGTACATTAGTCTATTTTGGTATATGTGCGAGCCCACAAATAATTAAAAGTGGTAAAAATAATAAAGATATTCAGACGTAATTCATTTTTGGCCTNCACTGCGTTACTATAGTTACTGCCCCAGCTACTAAACTGTAATGGAAACGCAGCATAAAGTGAGCCTGGCCTAACAAGGCCTAACAAGGCCCAACTATTCCGTACTAGGCCGAGCGAGGCCCTGCAATGGAAATGTGCCATAAGTCACTTCGGGTAAAAGCATCTAACAAGTGAAACTAAATGTATAACAATTTATTATTGCTGAAGCGGAAATAGGATAACACTGGTCAGGGTTCATACACTTTTTCACCAATGATTTTCAATGACTTTTCCATGACTTCTACATGACCTTTACCTAATTTTTCATGACCAAAAAAAAATTACTCTTTCTTACCACTGAAACATTTTTATTTTAACATGGTAAGCTGGAAAATAAGGTCTGCATATGAAACATGTTGTGCCTATCTAAAACAAATCAAATAGTAGGCTTACTAGCTCCTACAGACTAAAGCCACTGTAGACTAGAGGGCGTGATTGTAAAAATCTCTCACCAGCAAAATACCTCTACAGTTAAATGCCATTTTACATTTCATTACTAAACGATACAGTATGTATTATCGTTATAGTATTACTATTTCGGCGATTAGATAAAATATAAATTATATTTGATGCAACTTTGGTTACATTTCCATGACCTTTCCAACGCTTTGGGAAAGAAATTGTTTTCCATATGGTCCTTTTCAGAATAATATGCATGTAATAAATTATTTTATTACATGGCTTAGTTGAATACTCAATTCTGATTGGTCAATTCAGAACATGTGACACGTTGTTAATCCAGAACAGACAGACCACTGTCAAGGATTTATTGACCGTTGTTAAGGACGCTCACATCTGCACAAAGAAGTCCGTTCGATTTAACTGAAAAGCAAACTGCATGCATGCCGATCTAGATCCCTCAGCTTTGCGTCGGGCTCCTGATCAGCCTGTTTGTGTTCTTTTCCCCATAATGACCGCATCGCTGCACATTATCCCTTACATAACGCATTCATGTTTTTATCCACTCAATGTTATGCTTGGTAGAGGTAGTGTTTATAGTTTATATAGTATAATGCTAGGAAGCTTAACCTATAATAATACAACATACTTTATTAGTTCATTTATATTTTGTATTATTCCTATTTATCTGCAAAGTAAAACTGTAAATTGATGCGGTGGATTAAAAAGTACAACTATTTTCTCAAAAAATAATCAAGCAAAAGTATAAGTAAGTAGGGAAGTTCTAGTACCTTACATTTTGACTTATTTGACACATTTGTACAGCTTATTAAACAGATTTGCAGAAGTTCCTGCTACAGTGCGAGTCTGCAGGAGCACGTTTTGCCATGATGACACATCTTCTGTGTCTGTCAAGGGATGCTATTGGGCTGAGAAATACTTCTTCCCATTAACCTGCATCAGGAAAGAGACATCTGTAAATGAGCGTATATATAAATATATATATTTACAAGTTAAATGTATTACAAACTCTTGAATAGCATGTAAATCAGTAGGAGCTAAAAGTTGTAAAATGTTCTAAAAGCTGAATACAGAACAATCCCCCTCTAGTCCCCGCCTCCAGCGCTGTATCAAGTTCTCTGAATACATCAGTGACTCATAATCAGACTCACAAGGTGAGAGCGACACCAGCGTTTCTGTTTCAGCTGGTATAATGACAGTGCTGATTTGTTTTTAATAGCTCCTCAGAGTTTTTCTCACAGGTTTAACGATGAGTCATTTTGCTAACGCTCAAACCATATGCTGTGGGTTGTATGCATCGAAAAACACCTAATCTGACGGAACGCTGTCACAACTCTCCGAGAACTCTTCTGTGTTTCCTCAGTGATTCCAATCTAAAGTAACTTGATGCTGTGCTTATGTCTGCCATCTTTTAGCTCTCATCTCTATCTTACATTTTCAGCTATTCATACTCGAACAAAGTCAGATGAAAACACTGAAATACGAACACCTGAGATGTCTCTCTTGATTCAGTTATGATTGAAAAGACATGTGATGAGTGTGTGTTGTCACTGACGATGACTGACAGGAGCTAGCTGAGTCACGGCATGTACTGTATGAGTGTGTTTGTGCTCATGTGTACTTTATTAGATCTTAGTAATTATCCTTTGGGTAAAATATAATAGTGTAAGAGTGTGTGGTGTGTGTGGAGGGTGACCAATACTTGTTTATTACCAATGACAGTCTTTCTAGTGGTGGCAGACGTAAAGGAAATGATTCATCCATTTATGTGTTTGTCTGTCTATTAATCTCAGAGTTCTTCCATCACTTATAACTTTTTCTCTTTCATCTTTTATCCTTTCTGTATCGATGTATCTCTCTCTGAGCCCCCCTTTCCATATCTCCTCCATATCTCCCCCCCCCCTCACCATTGGTGCTCCTCTCCTTCCCGTTCCTGCTGCTGCTGCCGGTCGCCGTCCTCCGGGCTGAAGAGCTCTTGCTGGTGTTCAGCTTCGCGGAGCCGTTGCTCGACACCGAGCCGTCCTCCTCGCTTGGCAACGGCCTGTAGTATCCATGGCAACAGAGTGAGGCAAGAACAGGAAGGAGAGCTTGTGAGTCTCAGGGTGTACAGAAGCAGTGCAACATCTCAAGGCTAATACTGGAAACATATTGGAAAACTTTAAATGTTATAAAAGAAACCTGAAAAGGAGCATGATATAAAACTCAGTTAATGTAATTTGAGCATGTTTTCGTTATGTGTTTTCTTCCCTTTACTTTTTGTCATATGTCTTTTACTTCTTTTGTTATAGAGCTGCAACTAATAATTATATTCAGTATTGATTATTTTGCCTATTATTTTTTCAATTGGTTTGGTCTATAAAAGGTCAGTTTCACAAAGTGCAATGTGATGCTTAAAATTTCTTGTTTTGTCAGACCAAAGAAGTTTAATATGGTAGAAAAATAAAAAGACAAAAAGTGGGAAATCTCCATATTTGAGAGCCATTTTTTTGCACTTAAAGGTGTTATTTGCTTTTGATTATGTTTCTCTTGATTACCTAATTGATACGTTCATAGTTGTTGCACTAATATAACAAAATCACTAAATGTCTGTCAAATCCCGCCAGAAATTCTAGTGTGATCACAGAATTCTGATGCTATCAATGTTATTAGCATTCTGGCAGTAATAATCAAAATGTATTACAATGTTGGTTTTCATAACTTACTCATGTGTTTTGGAATGATAATAATTGTTTGGTTGAAGTTACAGGGTGGTGCAGGAATGAGTCCTGAAATCCTGAAACAAATTAGCCTTTTATCCATTTTGGTTCCCTCGTCTCGAAATCAAAGTTTTGCTGATGTGTTTTTGGTTAAATGCATGAAAGAAGGTCTAGGGTTAAGGCAAGCCAAGTGGATTTTCAGATTTTGTTCTATATAATACGCCGGTAAATACCTAACTCGTGAATCTCTGAAGCCTCTATGTGCCTTAAATAAGTATAACTAAACGCCATCATACCGAACATTCGCCGCCGTTAGCTTAGCGGTTGTGACCTTGATGTTATAGCCTAAGATTAGATTTTTTTTAATAAAGTGGTTTTGATATATGGAGATAATCATTCTGACAAAATGTATGTGTAAGCATCATACATTTGTCTCTGACACAAAGCTTATTTTGGAGCCTGTGAAATGCTAAGTTCTAGCTCAACCTACAAAAATAAGTCCTCACTGCACCACTCTATTGTGAGACATTTATTTGCTTTTCTATTTATACAACGATCCTATATGAGAGCATAGGAAATGAAAAAAATTAAAAGACAAGTGGAACAGCAACAACCCTGATATTGTTGGGCAGGTTGTTGAACAGCCAAGGGCTTTGATAGAAGCAGCTCAGTAGGAATGCATGCCAAATACACACACAAAGACACACACACAAACACACACACTTGACTGTTGAGGAGCCAATATACTGATGCAGAAACATGTATGAAGACATGTATGCTTTGTTCTTGCCTCAGGTAAACTAGGCACGTAACCACGTACAGGACACACACATGCACACACACACATGTTTGGCCTACAGGCATGTAAGCGGCAGCAGCAAAAACAACATACCAGGTGGTGTGAGATTCACAAATCAGCAACACCGGACATTACAGAGCCACGGGCGAGGATAAAACCCTCACTGTGCAAACACACACACACACACACACACACACACACACACACACACACACACACACACACACACACACACACACACACACACACACACACACACACACACACACACACACAGCAGCAGCAGCAGCGGTCAATGGCTGGCCGAGTCTCAGTCAAAGTCATGTGGAATTAGACAAAGAGTAGGAGGGTGGAGGGAAGAATACAGTGTGTGTGTTCCATATGAGCATGCGCAGGAAGGCCAAAAGAATGGATAATCATGCCGCTGGAAAGTAACGTTCATCTCCCGCCTCTCTTTGTGTGTTGTGCCTCGCACTCTGCAGCCCTCTGGAGAAGGCAGCAGTGAGCAGAATAAATGCTCCTGTCTTTCCACGTACCGCCGCGGTTAGCATTCAGCTCACACCTCTCTGTTTCCTCAGACAGGTGAATGGTTGTACAGCTGGAACAGTCGCTGCTGGTTCTAACATTGTTTGGCTTGTTTAACTCATATTGGGTCAAGGAAATACCACAGCTGATTTCCATCGTCTACAAATGTCTCACTGTTAGGCAATAATTCAAATAAGTCTTATTCTCTTTTTTTTTTTTTTAAGGTATGGTATTCTCAATATGTATGGATAGTATTTTAAGGTTTTTATGTGGTGTAACAGAGTCATGGACCGTATGATTTTTGGAAACCCAATTTAGATTATGTTAAGATAAGGTGTTAAAGCATAGTTGGATAATGGTTCATGTATAACAGCTTACTTATTTTACAATGTTTTAGTTACTATATATTCAACAATTCCATTCGAATGACGATTTACAATACAAGATTTCCGAACAACATTTATATTTAGGCAGGACTTGGTTGGACACACCCATCAGGGCGGATTAAGTGATACGTAGAAAAATGTTTAATATCTCTTTCCATAATGTTTTAAGATACTTACATTTACAATCTGAGCCTGTAAATGGCAAAAATAAACTTGTAGTGGATGTACATTGATAACATTGAATGCGCAATTGCTACAATATATTTAATGTAGTGAATTAGTCACAGAAAGCGGAGAAAATAGGGTGGAGGTTAAAAATAACCAAAGATACCCTTCAAATGAAAGGTGTAGAGAGTGAAGAGTTCACTGTATAGTCAGTAGGGGGTGATTTTGAACATACTAAATGTCTTTGCCTTATAGAGTGGCGAAGTCCCTCCCCTTCCGGGGGAGCTCCATGGGACCTTATTTCGAAAAAATTATGTATTGAAGTCAATGGAGAGAGAAAGATTATCTTTCGATCCCGTTTGAATTGTGCCACGAATTACACATATGATGTTTGTCAATTTAAAAGATAATTTTGCAAGTAAAAAAAAAAAATGTGTCGTAAAACTGTGAAGTAACACATTTGTTTGTGTGAAACGCTGAATGAACTACATCTCTGGTCTCGCGGAACAACACACGTCACCAAAATGGCCGTCACTACTGTCTTGTCAACAAAACGATTGCTACCCTGACTATCAACACAATGAAACACGTCCAGAAGAATATCATGCAAAGCTGCCTGCCTGCCTTCCTTTGATTCTCTCTGAACTGCCTGGTCTTTTTAATGTTTAATGTCAACCATTTGTGCAGATAGCATGAAGTAGAAAAGATCGGCGATCGCCGATGCTAGCGTGCTTAAATTGTGTATTATAGAATGATAACACCGGTGACAGTACTCTTCAAAGGGTTCACGAAATATGACTACTACTCTTACTGTTAACATTTTGGGTTACTTAATGTTACTTCATGTTAAGGCTAATATAAATGACAAGGCTGTGATGCTAACTAACGTGCTAGCTACTAGCTAGGACGCAGAGGGAGCAGAGCTTAGTTTTCCAAAACGACTTACACAAAACCCCGAATTTACGTACTTCTCCAGACCCAATTCCGTCGGTTCACCCTAAAAAGTCTAAGACAGATATATTAGCGGCCATTATTGGATTGAGCCACTTGAGACTCGGAGATACACGGATTTATTGCAAATTGCATTTGCGGTAGTATGGCTGGTAGCGGCGCAATCGAATCGGCGCAACGACTGGAACTACAAATATCGGATCTAATCTAAAAAAAATTATTTCACCAAACTACTATATACCTCTATAGAAGACTGTTTTACAATAACACATTCGTAGTATGCTAAACCCAGAGACTGTGTTTCGAATAAAACCCGACACTTACGATTCAAGATCGAGTGGATGTTTTTATTCAGGAGTGACGTGGTGAAGAATAACACCTCTGTAATAAAACGAAAAGCATAACATATGTTGCAGGATATACCTCGTATCCTTACTTTTTTTAATTTTTCTGTTCCACCCTTGTCGTTGTTGGGACTATAACAAACCGTCCAACCCAACTTCGGTTTCGCCGAAACTATCTTCGTCGAGTCATCCCTTACGTACGGTTTATGTGGTGTGTTTCTTCTAGTGTGTGTTTTGTGTGTGTGAACCTGACGAAACCCTCCTGGTATATGACTACGTGCTTTGTACATACTTCTGTTACATACGAAACAAGAACGGAGTCCATTCTGATCGTGCATTGGTCGCATGTCGCTGTTGGTCACTGTGGTGTGTGTACCAACCGGATTGTCCGTACATTCGCCGTCGTCGTTTTTGTTGTATGGTCCACCGACCACCTCTAAGGTTAGTTCGTTGTGGCCTGTTAATGTCTCCGGTGCCCGCTACCTATTTTGGGAGTGACACGTGTGTGTCGTGTGTGGTGTGTGTGTGTGTGTGTGTGTGTGTGGTGTGTGTGTGTGTGTGTGTGGTGTGTGTGTGTGTGTGTGTGTGGTGTGTGGGGGTGTGTGGTGCGTGTGTTCGTGTGTGTGTGTGGGGGTGTGTGTGTGTGTTGTGTCCGTCGTCGTCGTCCCGCCAGTTACCGACCCCCGGCCCTCAGAGGTCAGTTCAGTACACCTAACTGTTCCTCATCCTCCCACCCTCCCTTCCATTATGTCACCACACACAAAGGTATACTCGCGGCGTCCTCGCGGTTGTCTTACCTATTAGTAGCGCGACCTTTCATTCGAAAGTGAGAGGGCGGAGACGAAACCACACAAACACGGACGCGTGAACGGCGGAGACCTCTTCCGTCGTCGACTCGTCTTATTTACTAGGACCAGAAAGGTGCGATGGCGGCGCCAATCGTAATAGAGCTGGGAGAGACAAAAAGGAGTCTGCGTCACTATACCATACATGTCGACGCGTTGCTCAGCGACGAACCGAAGATGTACAACGAACAAATTGAGTATAACCCCAGTTCCTTTATGGTGTCGACTAGAAGGTAGCCAGACTGCTTTAGAGTAAATCCCGTTATTAAGTTTCATATCAGAATAAGAGAAAAACAAGAAAAAAAAATTTCAGACCCCGCATAAGAGTTA